TCCGGGCCGCAGATGTCTCGACAACGTAAGGGATGGATATTTACCGTACGCCGGGATGTCCGAAGGTGAAATTGGGATGGCGGAATCAAATCGTGCAATTCCTGCGCACACACTCTAAAACGCATCCTGTAGAAAACCGCAAGGATGGCCACTCTGCGCCTGTGCTCGAGACTTTGAAGATTGGACCCAACCAAATCTGGATCACCAATCAGCCTCTATGCATGCCTTAAAAAAGGAAAAAAATATAGAACTTCCTAAAAGTCCACGTTTCAAAGGTGGAATGAATTTTCCAAATGTGTCTTTATTTCTTTTACTTTTGACAGAATAGTCGTGGTCATCATCAAGAACACTTCTCTATCCCTTCTTTGTCATATGGCCCATTTTTACCTGATGATATGCAATCACAGCCGCCCATGGGCATTCGCAACACCAAAAGGATGTGGAAAGGTGTCGGATGTTTAAGGATTGGGGAAGGATTGAGTCTCCAGTAACCTCACTCACACGGCGAACCTGCAACGCTGTGGTTTATTCACTCCGGTTTTCTGAGAGGCCGTGGTATCACTCCGGTCGAGCCGACCCATTCGTGCCGAAGCACTTACAATTTCTAAGAAATATTTTTTTTATGGTATAAGTCGGCAAACGAGCTGACGGATTACCTGATGGTAAGCAATCGACGACGCCCATGGACACCCGCAACACCAAAGGAGTTACGAGTGCGTTGCCGGCCTTTTGGGGATAGGGGTTACGGATATAAAGATCGGGAAGGGATAGAGGAAGGGAAGGTATAGGGGAAGGAAAGTGATAGGGGAAGGGAAGGGATATGGGAAGGGAAGGGATGGGGGAAGGGAAGGGATTGGGCCTCCTTTAACCTCACTCACACGGGGAAACTGCAACGCTGTGGTTGTTTTACAATGGTTTTCTGTGACGCCGTGGTATCACTCCAGTCGAGCCGACCCATTCGTGCCGAAGCACTTTCAATTTCTAAGAAATATGTACACAGTAAGTCATATTTTATCATTTAATCACGAATGTTCATTCAAGAACCTGTGAAACAATTAGCAATCGTCCATTGGCTTTAGATAACTGCGCAGAAAATTCTTTACTAGTCATTGTTATACTTAAGTATCTTTCTGATTATATATCTTAGAATAGCGAGCCGCCCCGTCATCGAATGGTTGTAATGTTGATACTAAATTACTCCACTATTTAATGGATGTTTTCCTGTATGTCTGTTTGCCTTTTCTATACGCCTATACTACTGAACTTATTTGGGTGAAATTTGGTACAGACGTACTTAGGTTAGAACTCGACAAACTCTTCTTTTTTTTTTTGTATTTTTGATTTCTATGTGTGTGCGCTTGCGCCGAAATAAATGTTTTCTTTCTTTCTTTCTTTTAGAAAGTAAATAGGATTGTTTTCCTATAGGGCCCCGTTTGTGGTGGTCTATTGGCGGGCGCGGAAAGCTACGCGCCGTACGCTCGGGTCTGGTTCTGGTCGGGCGGCGAGCTACCCTTACTCGCCGTCCGCAGACCCGCGCTTACGGTGGCCGGAGATCATTTCCCGATCCCCGACGCCCGGAATGTCGCCTACTGCGGCGGCTGGGGCGCGAGGACGATAGTTTCCTCTCGCGCTCCGCCTCCTCCTTTCACTTCTTCGCAGAAACAGACGGCTTCCCAGTTCCTCTCGCTACGAACCATGGCCTCGACTAAGGCCGGACGCGAGAGGTCGCCGCCGACGATCACTTCCCTGAGGACACGGCGGTGCTCAGCCCAGGCAGGGCATACCGCCACCGTATCCTCTAGGTGGTCCTCACAATGACGACACTCGGGCGTTTCCTACCGCTGAATCCGAAACAGGAACCTACAGAAGCTAGCCGATGCCTCAGGCTGGAGTGTGAGGTTTTTAGTCAGTAAGATTTTGACACTCAGTCTCGCGTAACCCTGGCCGGGAATAGTCATTAGGTGATTTTCCCTTTACAAAAAAGAGATATTAAGAAGATATATTGCGTATGAATTCCAAAAGTTTCATTAAAGTCTGTTTAGTAGTTCCCGTGATTTTGGACTTGAAATGTGTACTATGTAACCAAAATGAAAATTAAAACAAACAGAAAGTTTGTATTAGGAGATTTATTTCAATTAAGGGCTGATTTTTTAATGGTTAGATAAAAGTTACCTAGGGAATAATTATGATGCTGTCGCGTCAGTATGTTTGTATAAGACAGTGACAGCAACAATTTTGTTCCTCAGATAACATTTATCTGACTATTGAAAAATCAACCTTGAGTATAGGTAATAAATTTCATAAGCAAATAATAAAAAGTAATTTCTTAATTATAATAATAGATTCTTTACCTGTAACAAAGAAAATGGAATAAATTAATATATAATTGCAGATTTTATTAGATGACTCTCCTTTTCCTTTTAAGTTATCGATGCAAAGCATTTGTAATTATTTTGGTGCTACCATTGTCCATGATGGCGCTGATTGCTTACCATCAGGTAATCCGGTTGTTCCGCGAAAAGGGCTACGTAAGCTACGCAAATTTATGTGTGGTTAGGTCGACCGACTCGAGTGATACCACGGCCTGGCCTATTGTGTTTGGCCGTTTGAGTGAGGTTATCGGAGGCCTAGTCCTTCCCCTTCCACAATCTCTCCTCAATCCCTAAATCTCCAACTCCCTTATCCCCAAAAGGTCGGCAACGCGTCGGCAGGTAATTCCTAGGTTGTCATAAAAATATTTTTTTAAGAGTTTCTGTATAAAAGCCACAGTGATATATATTATAGTCTAGAATATCGCATAGGATTTTTGTCTTTTTATTGCGGGCAGACCTGGTGTCAGAAACTAGTTATTTGATAACGCTAACTATCTTAAAAATGTTATAAATGCGAAAGTTACGATTTTTTATGTTTGAAAGAAAGAAAGAAGAAAGAAAGAAAAAAGTTTATTGACACAAACCATGTGCACACAGACACAGTAACAAAAAGGTTATTTAATATTTAAGAAAAAAATAAAGAAAACTACATAACTGTGTGCCTCACGGCTGCGCCAAACAGGTCCAGTTCAGCATAAATGCCAGACCACTTGGGCCTAACGCTGGTTTTCAGCTGGACCTTTGTGCATGACGTGCTACGGATGCAAACCAGCCTTTCCATAAACATTAAAAATGTAGGTAGATACATAATCAATAAAAAAAGAAAATAGCTGCAATGGGGGTAGATATATAAATAAAATAAAAAGGAAGCGTGTACTAAATTGTAGTGAAGGTAATGTGTGACTAGGGAATGTATGACTTAGTTTATATATCATTACACATGTGTATGTACAAAGTCCCAACAGTGGCAAAACTCCGCCAAGTCTGTGTGTGTTGCGTGTTGTTAAATCAGCCTTGGTACTTTTTGTTGCTTAAAGTTTAAAACAAATAAAAAATAAAAAACGCAGTGATAAGTCAAAAATAAAACAATTGAATATATGAATCTAAATCTAAATGCCGACGAATTGTTAATCCTTGCATCATATCAACAGCACGCTGCAGGCGGTCGGGTGAAATGTCATTTGATGTATTTGTGTGGAGTGGACTTAAACCTATATAATAGAGACATTAACATTGACCATATCAAGTTCCCGTTGCGCTTCTATCAAGTACCGCCGTAAGCGACTTCTAAATGTGCCGATCGTGGTGACTGATCTAATAGGTGGTGGCAGATTATTCCACACTTTAGAAGCCGCATACCGGAAGCTGCCTCTAAAAGCAGCAGTACTGTGAGAGTTTGTTGACAGTTGTTGCGAACATAACCTTGTTTGCATGTTTGTTACTCAATCACACCAAAACGACTGGACGGATCTGAATGAAATTTGGGAAAGGCATAGGATACACTCCGGAATAGGACAGAGGCTACTTTTTATCAACATATCACGCGGGCGGAAGCTGGTACTAATATTATAAAGAGGTAAAATTTGTAAGTTTGTATGTAGGGGGTAATATTGGAACCACTAGTCGGATTGCCAAAATTCTTTCACTGATAGTTAGCTACAATGTTCCTGTGTGCTATAGGCTATAAATTATACTTATATTTTAGTCGAGCTATCGCTTTAAACGCTGCTGTTTTTAACCGACTTCCAAAAAGGAGGAGGTTGTCAATTCGACCGTATATGTTTTTTTTTTAGTAATATCCCGGGATGTATTACATTTAGCTAGTATCCGATTATAATCTACAACACAAACATAACAATTCTTATAATTTTATAATTATTAATAAAACTTATCATTAATTTCATTTAAATTAATTCACCTGCTTGATAACAATTACTTATAATCCGATTGCTAATCATTGTTTAGTTATCAACGTGGCAGAATTCAAAAACATCATTTATTTATAGAAAACTAGCTTTTGCCCGCGATTCCGTTCGCGTGGAACAGTCAAATGACTTCCTGCAGATTTTTGGTATAAAAACTATCCTATGTCCTTTCTCGAGATCCAAACTATGTCTGTACCAAATTTCACACAAATTGGGTCAGTAGTTTAGGCGTGAAGAAAAGATAGACAGACAGAGTTACTTTCGCATTTATAAAAGAAAAGACAGACAGACAGACGAGAGAGTTACTTTCGTATTTACCTAATTAGTTTGGATAACGACTCGCTTTACTTCACGTGAAATAACTTTGAAAAAAGACTATTTTCAAGTCTTATGACTTGAAAATAGTCTTTTTTCGGACGGGACTATGATGAGTCGACTGACTGGCTTTGAATATTTGAACTCGGAAAAAGTCACACAGGTAGTAGACCGAAATATCATCATCATCATCATCACCAGTGTTATTTCGTCCACAGCTGGACAAAGGCCTCCCCAATTGCACGCCACTGCGCTCGATGTTCAGCTCTTCTCATCATCATCATAATCATCAGCCTATTCCAAACCTTTACTGGACGAAGGACATCTCACAAATACTTAAAAATCATAGAAAAATAAATAATAAATACTCACTAAAAGTCTAAATGAATCAACCAACTATGTTGACCCCGCCGCTATTGTCAGCAAATTGGACGTCGCCGCTATTGTCAGCAAATTGGACGTCGCCGCTGTTGTCAGCAAATTGGACCCCGCCGCTGTTGTCAGCAAATTGGACCCCGCCGCTATTGTCAGCAAATTGGACGTCGCCGCTGTTGTCAGCAAATTGGACCCCGCCGCTATTGTCAGCAAATTGGACGTCGCCGCTATTGTCAGCAAATTGGACACCACTGTCGCCGTCAACAATCTAGAAAACATTTTTTTTTTATATAAACATTGGTAAGATATAAGAAGCCAAGCTAATTATGCTGTGAATGTCAACAAGGTGAGTGTGGGAGAGCCATGCTTCGGCATGAATGGGTCGGCTCGACCGAAGTGACCACGGCCTCACAGAAAACCGGCGTGAAACAACCACAGCGTTGTGTTTCGCCGTGTGAGTGAGGTTACCGGAGGCCAAAACTCTCTGCTTCGCCCATCCTTTCCCAAAACCGTGCTCCAGGCCAAGGCGGCGCCTCAAACAGCCAAAAGACCACCACAGACGGGGCTTTATAGGGCTGATCTTTAGCCGGGGTTGCGGGGCAAGCGCAAAAAGGCATCGCGACCTTGGCCTGGAGTAGGGATGTCACGAGTTGGTTTTTAGTCAGTAAGAGTCTGACATTCTCTCTCGCTTTACCCTGGGCGGGAGAAGTCATTTGATGATTTTCTCCTGACAAAAAGCCGCCACCACATAAATAATAGAAATAAAATACTTAATAATTAAAAATGAATCACAGACCTGGACTCCGCTCATGTTGATTTTTTGTTGAATTTTTATTGGTAATTTTCAAAAAAAAAAAACAATTGACGTCTCTGCCCACGTTCGGAATAGCACACTGACTAAATGTAAGTGTACCTATAATATTTAAAGTCGGTATACGATTATCTACAAAATAAATATGTACTCGTATCTGTTGTACCTATAGTTTTCTTATCTAGCTCACAATCTAAATGCGAGCATTTTTTTTTTGGAAATACGATAAGGAATGCGCCGATTTTTTTTTGTGTGATTCATTGATAAGGTAACTCTAGCTAAGTTTTGGTCTACGGTAATTTTGTAGTCTGTTTTCGTCATTAAGTAGAGATATGACGCTGATGTTCGGAGAAGCACAGAGCCGGAAAACACGGCATTGATAATTTAGAGACCACTGACAAACGGTGAAGGAAAACATTGTGAGGAAACCAGGGCCTCGAGTCTGCTATTACAATAGTGTCAGAATAGTAGATCATTGGTTTCAAAATTGTTGATTTTGACAAGTTTGGTAATCTACCAACACGATAGCGTAATTATGACTTTCCAATGCCACTTCATTGAAATAATTCTTTAGAACGGTAATCTCGTAATAATGACAAATGATTATTTGAGATAATGCGGTAAATTAATAAAAAATGTCAGGTTTTTTTACCAATGATTTACGTTTAGAATATGAATGTGCAGCTATTGTTTATAATTCGTTACAAGACATCTCGTACTATAATTCTATTACGACATCGTCGAACGCCAATGATCAGCCATTTTGAATTAACAGATTACGAACTTTTAGCAAAATTACAATGGAATCGTTTAGGAATGACAACACTTTGAAAATAGTAGACTCGGGCCCCAGGACTTTCTAATTATATATTTGAATCCGCCTTTAGCAAGCGTAGTGGTTAATGCTCAAACCTTCTCCGTGTGAGAAGGTTGAATGATGATGATGAAACACGGGAAGAATCTAGAATGCTAAGATACAGGTCTCCCTGCCCTCAAGGCATTAACAGTTCTGTTTTTTAAACTTAACCCCACACTATGATTTTCACCTGTGTTGAGCAAGTACAAATATAAAAATTGACATACACATCACACCCAGACCCGGAATAACAAGTTGTGGATCACACAAAGAGTTGTTCCGTGCGAAAATCGAGCCCGCCGACACGTTGCACGGCAGCCAGTTGCCCAGCCACCGCACTAACCATGCAGTGAAAGCCAATAGACCACCACAGACGGGGCCCTATAGGGCTGATGTTCAGCCGGGGTTGCGGAGTAAGCGCAATGAGGCACCGTGACCCGGCCCAGAGCAGGAGAAGGAACAGGGGTTTTTAGTCAGTAAGAGACTGACACTCCCTCTCGCCCGGCCCTGGGCGGGAGAAGTCATTTGATGATTTTCCCCTCACAAAAAAAAAAAAACCATGCAGTCAAAGTTATAAGAAAGATAAACAAATATATTTTATCTATATTTTATGGAATAGACACAGATTATAAAACAAAAAGAAGATGTGTCGCACGGAACAATAATATGAAGCTTCCTTGGTAGACATGTGTGCATGACAGCTTTATAAAACACGTTTTCTCAGTGTGCGTTACGGTTGCCAGACAATAACAAAATTACCCACAATATGTCATTGTCTACCTATCAATATAAATAAATAAAAATCAATTTCCGATATGTATTACCCGTTTTGAACCTATTTAGGTAAATGTAGAGAAAAATGGGAACTATACTTCTACACTAATATTTTAAAGAGGTAAAATTTGTAAGTTTGTATGTAGGGGGTAATCTTTGGAACCGCTGGTCGGATTGCCAAAATTCTTTCACTGATGGGTAGCTACAAAGTTCCTGAGTGCTGTAGGCTATAAAACATCACGATACGATTAAATGGAGCCGAGCAGCGGGTGAAACCGCGCGAGAGCAGCTAGATGCAAGTAAAATGAAAATGATTAAATTTTTAAAGTTGTGTGTGAACTAGATCACAGTTGTAGGTATAATGAAATTTAAATATATGTATAATAAATGAGGTCGGAGACGGTCAATAGTACGGATGCTTAACGAAGACGAACTTCTTGAAACAACCACAGCGTTGTGTTTCGCCGTGTGAGTGAGGTTACCGGAGGCCCAATCCTTCCCCTTCCCCAATCCCTCCTCAATCCTTAAATCTCCAAATCTCAAACCCTAAAAGGTCGGCAACGCACTCGTAACTCCTCCGTTGCGGGTGTCCATGGGCGGCGCTGATTGCTTACCATTGAGTAATCCGCCTGCTCGTTTGCCGACCTATTACATAAAAAAAAAGTGCGGCAACCTAGATGGCAGCACAGTCGCAATGTCGTCAATGCCTAACTTCGTGCCACAAAAGAGTCTAGGTGATGGAGGGGCGCGCTGATGTCTCTCTCTTGCTATCCAGCTGTTGTCGAGTGCAGTATCTTTTAGCTGGGAACTGTTATTCGTTTCGTTGTGTTTTAATTTGTGTAATTTGTTGTAATTAAAAGTCTACGCTGCTTCTCTTTTGCACGATCAACCTAATAAGCCTACATTATGCCTGACGATAGTCCTCGTCATATAGGCTCCGACATGTAGGTAACTAGTAAGTAGTTTAATAACTATCCTATGTCCGTTCTCGAGTTCCAAACTATGTCTGTACCAAATTTCACACAAATCGGTTCAGTATTTTAGGCGTGAAGAAAAGACAGACAAATTTTATCATGACCATCAAACTATGATATACTTTAACATAATTTACTTAATTATCTCCGGTCAAATTATTGGTCAAAAAGTACAGACAAACATACCAATCAAATAATTACACAAACAAATCATTATAAAATATTTATGAAATATTTTTCTAAATCGATAATCAGGGATCAAAGTACGATCTCTGGCCACAGTAAGCGCGGGTCTGCGGACGGCGAGTAAGGGCAGCTCGCCGCCCGACCAGAACCAGACCCGAGCGTACGGCGCGTAGCGTTCCGCGCGCGCCTCAAAGAGCCAATAGACCACCACAGACGGGGCTCTATAGAGCCGATGTTCAGCCAGGGTTGCGGGGTAAGCGCAATGAGGCACCGCGATCTCGGCCCAGAGCAGGAGAAGGAACAGTGGGTTTTTAGTCAGTAAGAATCTGACACTCCCTCCGTCGGGAGAAGACATTTGATGATTTTCCCCTCAAAAAAGGGTAAAAGATTTCAAAGTAAACTAGCAACACCGATAAATGTTTGTTAAGGTTTTGTGCTACAAGAATTCACTAAAAATAATTACGTAAAATAATACCTACTTATCCAAATAGACAAATAAATAATCAATATTTTATCTATTGAAAGATAAGTAGGTACTTCTTCCTCTTTATTATTATTTTTAATTAAATATATATATAGGTATTTATTACATTATTCTCAAAACATATTAATATGATCTATGACGTATTATCCATGCGACGCTTCGTGACGTACTGACTCGAGTTTGTATTCGCTTTTGAATTTTGTATTTGCTTAGGTGGCTTCACAACCATACCAGATGGATTACCTGATGGTAAGTGATAGGATGAACCCATTTTCTTAAGAATCGGTGGGGTTGTAGTTTAGAACCAGATGAAGAACATTCGACAGTGGGCTAGGTTGGGTAGAGTCGGTAGAATTGGGTAGTTTCCTAGGTCAAAAATAAATTAATTCGACGTTACAATACAATCAAATATTGAAAAATAACTATAGGTACTTTTATTCATCGATCGATCGATACACTAAGTTTTAGATTTGTTTTAGCTAATTATTAAAAAATAAGTAAGCTATTTGACGTAAAATTACTATGACTCAGTTTTTCATACAAGTTTCAAAGAAAAGTATCGTTTTGGACATTTGGATAAAAGTATTGAATTTGACTAGTTGGAAACTACCGTATTGATAGTGTAGGTAGGTAACTGGGTAGGGTAGTGTTTAATCAAATGACGGAAGCGAAGCAGCTGTAAGAGCTACTTTATTATACCAGATCATCATCAGCCTATAAGTGCCCACTGCTGAGCAAAGGCCTCTTCTCACGCGGAGAAAGGGTTGAGCATTAATCACCACGCTTGCTCAATGCGGGTTGGCGATTTCAAACTTATAATTAGAAATTATAAGTCCAGGTTTCCTCGCGATGTTTACCTTCACCGTATGTCAGTGGTGTCTAATTAATCATAGAAAGTAGGAACATATAACTCGGAAAAGTCACATTGGTGCTTGCTAGGTTTCGAACCCACACCCTCATGCATGCGGGCCACTTCGACCACTTATTAGATAATGGAAATTAATCTCCGATTAAGATTACCATAAATGTTAATTAATGATAAAAACAGTTGCCTCTATCTGTTAATAAAATGCGTATGATAAAGTGTATTCTTAGGATTATTACAGATTAATAAATAAGTTTCCCTTTTTTTGTCAGGGGAAAATCATCCAATGACTTCTCCCGCCCGGCCCTGGGCGGGTGTCAGACTCTTACTGCTTAAAAAACCCCCCGTTCCTTCTCCTGCTCTGGGCCGAGGTCGCGGCGCCTCATTGCGCTTACCCCGCAACCCCGGCCGAACAGCCCTATAGGGCCTCGTCTGTGATGGTCTTTTGGCTCTTTGAGGCGCACTTGGAACGCTACGCGCCGTACGCTCGGGTCTGGTTCTGGTCGGGCGGCGAGCTACCCTTACTCGCCGACCGCAAACCCGCGCTTACATTGGCCAAAGATCGTTTCTCAAATAAGTATGCCTACTATCACGTTCTAACACCTTTTGGGAAAGGGGAATCATTGAATGACTTCTTCAGCTTTGTGTGGGGTGAGAGGGCGTGTCAGACTCTTACTAATTCTCCTGTTATTGGGGGGAGGCTGAAGATCTAAGAAGCAGAGATCACGTAGAGATGCGAAACGGAGACTTTTTTTTTTAAAAAAATTGCCCCGCTCTAGTATTTTCGCCTATGTCGTGGTGGTGCGTTTACAAACATACAATTTCACATACATATCACACCCAATAATAATATTACAGGGATATTTATGGACTGATGTCCTATTTCACTAATATTAAAGTTTTTTCTATTCAACTCTATGTTATATCAAAACTCAACTGGGTGACCATGACCTCACAGAAAACCGGCCTGAAACTACCACAGCGTTGTGTTTCGCCGTGTGAGTGAGGTTACCGGAGGCCCAATTCTTACCCTCTTCAACCCCTAAATCCTAAAGGCCGGTATAACACATTTGCAAGTCCCCAGGTCTTGCGGTTGTCTATAAAGGCGGCGCTGATTGCTTACCATCAGGAAATCCAAATTAAAAGAACTATTGATTTCAAAGGTACGAAGTTTCGCAAACTTTAGTTTTATATCAGTTATGTACATATATTTTTAACTTTGGATGGACAAAAAAGATAACAAAGAATTATCAACTAATAACTGATGATAACTATTTTGGTGGTCTAATGCTCAAATATGACATCAAATCTAATCATCATCAGCCTATAAGTGCCCACTGCTGAGCAAAGGCCACTTCTCACATGGAGAAGGTTTGAGCATTAATCACCACGCTTGTATGGCAGTGGTGTCTAAATAACCATAGAAAGTACAACTTGGAATAGTCACATTGGTACTTGCCAGGTTTCGAACCCTGCATGCATGAGAAGCGGGCCTTAACCTCGGAGCCATCACGACCTTCAAATCTAATATATTAAATAAGTGTGGGAGAGCCATGCTTCGGCATGAATGTGTCGTCTCGAAGTAATACCACGGCCTCACAGAACACCGACGTGAGACAACCACAGCGTTGTGTTTCGCCGTGTGAGTAAGGTTACCGGAGGCCCAAACTTTACCTTAAATCCCCAAACGCTCTTATCCCTATATTCCCGGTAGAGAACTTGCATTTCCTCTGGTATTACATGTGTCCATAGGCGTCGCTTATTGCTTACCATCAGGTGATATGCCTGCTCGTTTGAAGTATCACATAAAAAAAACAATGATAACCTTTCCATACAATTTATTCATACAAAAACACCTTTCATTTTATTATGAAAATAATTTACATAACACAGCCTTAAACGTATAATATATGTATGTATAAATGTATTTAATTATAATAATTAGTTACTATCTAATGTTAAACTTAACAAGATGGTAGAAACCCTAGTTGCGGATTTTTAAGGTACTAATATTGTCATACAAATTGTTCCTTGTGTTGATAAATAAGCGACAGTGGCGCCAAAGCAGCAGAATTTACGTATTACTGGTAAAAAAATGGAGTTTACCTACTTAAGTAGAAAAATACAGCTTTTTATTTAACAAAAAGGCACAGGATAAAAACTTCCACCATATAAGAACCAACTAAATAATATAGGTACCAAAGAATCTGTATGTGAAACTGATTTAAAAAAACCATGGAGTTTCTAGCTCGTCCTTCTCCATAGGAATCTACACTTTGGAACGAGCAAATAGCTTCACTAGAGGACTGACCGACCGACTGACACTTTATATTCAAATGATTTTGACTTTTGGTATAATATAGGTACTTTTGTTTATTTCTTTTTTTTTTAGTTTTGTTAATGACGATAAAAGCAAGTCTCACAATCGTATGGTTTAGAAAAAAGATTAGGTATTAGAACTTTGTTTTGTAGCACAATTCGAATATTTTTTTCAAATATCACATTTGTATTACGAACTGGAAAATACGATTCTCATCATTTTTAATCTTTGACATTACGCCATTAAAAAAGCGAGAGAATCATATGGAAGAAAAAGGAAACAGAAACAGAAGAAAGAGAGGATAAACTTTTTTAACGCCTACGTCGAAAATAGACGACTAGCTACTACCGTACAGTTTCACCCGTTGCTCAGCTCCTGTTAGTCGTAGCGTGATGTTTTATAACCTATAGCACTCAGGAACATTGTAGCTATCTATCAGTGAGAGAATTTTGGCAATCCGACCAGCGGTTCCAAAGATTACCCCCTGTATACAAACTTACAAATTTTTACCTCTTTATTAAATTAGTACAGATAAAATAAAGAATGATGTTTTCTTGTCGGCAATGTTAGACAGTAGCGTGGACAGTTTTTTTTTTTGAAAGGGGAAACAGATAGAATAGACTACAATGATGTTTCTGTCAACATGCGGTATGAAGCTTATAAAGATTATTAACTTAATAAACTATACAATGAACAATCTACAGTTATGTACAATATCTATAATTAATTTTCCTGTCTACCATCGGCTACCTCCGCCGTAATCAACTCCTTCGACAACATGAACTCCGCCACCGCCGCCACCGTAGTCAACTCCGTCAACAACATGAACTCCGCCACCGCCGCCGCCGTAGTCAACTCCGTCAACAATGTGAACTCCGCCACCGCCGCCGCCGTAGTCAACTCCGTCAACCACGTGAACTCCGCCGCCGCCGCCGTAGTCTATCCCGCTAACTATGTTGACTCCACCTCCGCCGCCATAGTCCATTGACTCGACTACGTGGACTACACCACCACCGCCGCCGCCATAGTCGATACCATCGACAACGGTAACTCCGCTCTGGAAAATGAAGGAAAAAAAAATTGAGGAAAGAAAGGAAAATAATTTATTTGGTACGTACTAAATACGTACAATAATAAGAGGGCGAAGCAAAACACAAAAAAAAATATCTAGGATTCTTGGACTAGGATTTTTTCCTGTGTCGTAGGTGCGTTTACAAACATACAATTCCACGTACACATCACACCCAGACTCACGAAACAACAATTTGTGGGTCGCACAAAGAGTTGTTCCGTGCGGGAGTAGAAACCAAAATACGTTGCGTGGCAACCAGTTGCCAATGAAAAACAAATGCAACAATGTTGAGTTATAAATTAAAATCTTCTATATAAAAATGGATCGCAAAATGTGTTGGTAAGCGCATAACTCAACAACGCCTGGACCAATTTTGCTAATTCTATTTTTGTTGTGTTTGTTATTGTGAGGGGGTAATATTATCAAAGAAAATATTAGAATAGTAGAGGGGAAGATCAGGAAAAAATGACCCTTTGATAGCGAGATAGTTGAACCCGTGCGAAGCGGGGGCGGGCCGCTAGTTAATCATAAAACAAAACTATATATGAAATACTTAAACAACAAACATAAGATGGCAGCGCGCCCATGCCAAAAGGATTGCCATCTCAGTGAACTTATCTCTCATATTTGAATTATTCATTTATTTTGTTTGACTCCTTTGCGTATAGGGTAGGATTGGCCTAACTTATGTAGCTTGATTGCTCCACTACTTTTATAGGTACTTGAGCAGATTAATATATATTTCTGCAAAGTTTTGCTTATGTATAGCTGTTAATATGGATGAGCGGGTGACTAAAAAAACCCCCGTTCTTTTTATTGCTCTGGGCGGAGGTCGCGGTGCCTCATTGCGCTTAACCCGCAACCCCGGCTGAACATCAGCCCTATAGGGCCTCGTCTGTGGTGGTCTATTGAGCTCTTTGAGGCGTGCGCGGAACGCTACGCGCCGTACGCTCGGGTCTGGTAAAGGGGCGGAAAACCAAGGGCGGCGCTGGCATCGACAATGGCTTCATATCATTGTGTATAATCGTATAATCTGCCCATCCTTTTTTGTTAGTGTTACTAGATAGTGTTGTCAAGTAATTTATCTGTTATATCCTTGTATATATGTATACATTATATCAATACTTATCTCATCTAATCTTTAGGTAATAGAGAATTCGTAGAATCAATGTGTCACTTCAAAAATATTTATCAAATTGAGGAAAACGTGTTTCCTTTGATAATAATGTTATTATTATTATAAAAAATACTTATTTTTATCTAAGTCGGTAGCGTTACGGAATTGTTATGTAAAACTTTATAATTATATATTTTTTCAACACACTTCCTCATAAAGTGGCAAGTGTGGGAGAGCCAAGCTTCGGCACGAATAGGTCGGCTAGACAAGAGTGATACCACGGCCTCACAGAAAACCGGCGTAAAACAACCTGTGTTTCGCCGTGTGAGTGAGGTTACCGGGGGCCCAATCCTTCCCCTTCCCGGACCCTTCCCCAATCCCTAATCCCTAAAAGGTCGGCAACGCACTCGTAACTCCTCCGTTGCGGTGTCCATGGGCGGCGCTGATTGCTTACCATTGAGTAATCCGTCTGCTCGTTTGCCGACTTATTACATAAAAAAGCCCGTGTCAATTAGGCACGTAATGACACCTATAATCAAACTGTGACTAACTGTAACCACTAAATCATCAATGAACATGTGTATTGATTGATGATGATTACCGTCCTTGGCTTCTTAAGACCCTCACCAGACGGCTCGCATCTCACATCCCGCTCCATGCACCTCACATTACACACTTATACAGTAATGTACTATAAAGTGTGGGAGAGCCATGCTTCAGCACGAATGTGTAATACCACGGCCTCAAAAAAAACCGGCATGAAAAAACCACAGCGTTGTGTATCGCCATGTGAGTGAGGTTACCAGAGGCCCAATCCTTCCCCTACCCCAATCCATAAATCTCCAAAACGTCGGCAGTACTCCTAACTCCTACCTTGTTTTAGGCGGTGTCCATGGGCGGCGCTAATTGCTTACCATCAGGTAATCTGTGAGCTCATACTAAATACTACTTCATAAAAAAACCTATGAAAATCTCTGTTTCATGGTACAGAACTGCAAACGAGCTGATGGTAAGCAATCAGCGCCGCCCATGAACTCTCAGAACACCAAAAGAGTTATAAGGGCATTTTGGAAACCGGAGGTTTTTCGGAGGTTGTTAGAGATTTGATTTTATTTGTTGATTGGAAAGTACACGCCTTGGCAACCACCACTCGCACAGCCAAAAACATCGCTTAGCAACGAACATAGTTCTAGACAATGATATTATAAGTAAAAAGGTGTAGATAGGTTACAAGCGCTCAGCAAGTGATACATTAAAATGTGGCTAACTAGCCACACTTTTTCATATTTGTCTCTTTTTCACTCGCGATTATTGAATCATGCCGTCCCACTTTAACGTGTATAAAAACTAATTCTTCATGTGTGCATAAGTGTACCGTTTTTGAAAATCGAATGTTGTTTATGTAACCTATCTACACCATTCTACTTATAATATAGATATTTTTTTAATGTAATAAGTCGGCAAACGAGCAGACGGATTACCTGATGGTAAGCAATCAACGCCGCCAATGGACACCCGCAACGGAGGAGTTACGAGTGCGTGGCCGACCTTTTAGGGATTAGGGATTTGGAGATTTAGGGATTGAGGAGGGATTGGGGAAGGGGAAGGATTGGGCCTCCGGTAACCTCACTCACACGGCGAAACACAACGCAGTGGTTATTTCACGCCGGTTTTCTGTGAGGCCGTGGTATCACTCCGGTCGAGCCGACCCATTCGTGCCGAAGCATGGCTCTCCCACACTTATATTATAACATGAGGAAAATACCCAACAATAAAACTCTTAGGCTTGCATTCATTAATATCAATAACAATCGCTACTTCACGTTTATTTCTGGAGGTCAAAAATACAAGTAGGTATTAACACGAACTACCTATCTTAATAACTTTGAAATGTAGCACTTGAGGGTTATTAAGGCCGCTCATACAATTATAAAGAACGGAGATAAAGAACTGACTAATATAGGAATCAAATTGATGGACTGCACGGTTGGTGCGGTGGCTGGGCAACTGGCTGCCGTGCTACGTGTCGCAGGTTCGATTCCCGCACGGAACAACTCTTTGTGTGATCTACAAATTGTTGTTCCAGGTCTGGGTGTCATGCGCATGTGAAATTGTATGTTTGTAACCGCACCTACGACACAGGAGAAAATCCTAATGTGGGGCAACGATTAATTAAAAATTGTAAAGGTTCAAATTCATTATAATCTTTATATGAGGAAGAGCCATGCTTCGGCACGAATGGGTCATCTCACCACGGGTTCACAGAAAACTGGCGTAAAACAACACTATTTTTTGATGGGAGAAAGCCCAGAGTGGGTTAAGTGGGAGTGTCAGACTCTTACTGACTGAAAACCACCACTATTTCTTCTCCTGAGCCAGGCCGAAGCCGTGCTATCTTTTTGCGCAACATTTACGTGGACTTTCACCGTATGAATAAGGTTACCAGAGGCCCAGTCCTCCAATAACCTCAATAACCCGAACATGGCGAAACACAACGCTCTGGTTGTTTCGCACTGATTTTCTGTCAGGTCGTTCCATCACTCCGGTCGAGCCGTAGTGATTTTGAAGTGGCTTGTCGACTTAACATAATTATTAAAATTGGCGCCTATTTAGTGCATACCTATTTGTTATAGGGCGGGTTTTTCAATGCTTAGATAAAAGTTAGCTGGAGAATAATCATGATGCTTTCGCGTCACAATGTTTGTATAAGACAGTGACAGCAACAATTGTATTCCTTAGATAACATTTATCTGACTATTGAAAAATCAGCCTTAAGCGTTTAATTAAGTATATCACAACGGACCAGTTATCAAAACCCTTTCAGTTTCGTGCTGCTAGAGCTGAATAAGGGACTACAATACTTAGACAGAGATCTTGTCAAGCAGCAGCACTCTCTGATTAACCCGAACCTTTTAAACTGCTCTCCAACCTTCCAGGGGAGATAGTGGCGAATTCCTTAACTAGAATACACCCACAGCTTTGGACAATCTCAGCCAATTGTCAAAAATACACGACAAATTTTGCACACAGAAAACTCAACCTTATAATCGTATGTACACGAGGATATAAATAAAAAAGCCGAATACTCACATCTTGGCAATCGCAGCACGGTATAAAACAACAGCTCACACTGTTAATACAACCCATTGTTGGTTTGAGACTGAAATTCGTTCAAAATATTCCATATAACATAATATTTCTATCTTTCAATATCAGATACCGTTTTATCTGTATACCTATAACATATAGTATTCGTGGTATAGTGACGTGTACCGAAGGGCGATCCGCACGGATGTTTTATTATAAGGCTTAGTTTAGATGTGAAAGCCGAATATTAGTTTCGGCTTTCGGCTTTAAGCCGAATAGTTGGGTTTGTGTGGATGGGATGTAATATTTATTAGGTGTTTTATAGCTCTAGTTTTGTTGTAATGGAAATGTGGTGTGATATTTAGTGTCGGTTTTTGTTCCTATCCGAAGTTCAGTAACGTATAAGATGCAATACAAAATAATATTAGCTTAATAATCCTTAAAAACACAAGGGTATCCACGTGGCATAATTATTTTTTTAAACTGTTCTAAAATACGTATACCTACATAAGTATCTATACTAATATTATAAAAAGGGTAAATTTTGTAAGTTTGTATGTAGGGGGTAAAGGGTCTGCAAAGACCCTTTACCCCTACATACAAACCGCTGGTCGGATTGCCTAAATTCCTTCACTGATATATAGCTACAATGTTCCTGAGTACTACAGGCTATAAAATATCAAGGTACAATAAAATGGAGCCGAGTAGTGGGTGAAATGGCGCGAGAGAAGCGAGTACAGTTTAAAGATGTATCTACCGTAGATTATTTTTACTCAATCCAAGGCACTACGAAAAATAGATAAGATAAAAAATGACTATCATAAAATGCATACACTATGCTACATACATCATCATCATCAGCAGCCTATAAGTGCACGCTGTTGAGCAAAGACCTATTCTGACAAGGAGAAGGTTTGAGCATTATTAATGCCACCAGTCTTGCTTAAGGCACATTGCCGATTTCAAACTTATAATTAGAAATTATAAGTCTGGGTATTCTTATGATGTTTTCCTTCATCGGATGTCAGTGTTGATTACAATAAACTTAAAAGTACATAATATATATTTGGAAAAGGTTACCTTAGTACAAGCCAGGTTTCGAAATCTTCGTGCATGAGAAGCAGATGCGAATTTATGCGACATTGTCTTTTTCAATATCTTTAAGCTATGGTTTTAGTGCCCAAAAGACACTTAAAAGGCTCGCAAACAATTTAGGCTATTTATTCTTTAAATACATGGACAAAGCGACAATTACCTAACAGCTAATAAATTGTAAAAGCAGGTAATTCTTTGCCGTAGTCTGTGTTCCCCGAAGGTTATAACCTGGATGTCTTCAAGGCCCGAGTGAATAGGTTGGTTATAGGTAGGCGTGCTCCATCGTAGGTCGCATCATCACTTACCACCAGGCGAGATAGAAGCCAAACACCAGTCCATTGTAAATAAAAAAAAGTCTCCGAAAGCCGAATGCCGAATACTGAAAGCCGAATACTCAAGTAGCTAAGCTGGTGTGATCCTATCTTTATTTAATAGACATTCGAATAAGCTTTAGATAATAATATTATACAAAATAATATATATCTAGTTATTATTATATTAGATATGCTGTGTATTTAAAAAAAACCCATCAACAGGAAAAAAAACTAAAAAAATTTTCAATAATTATATATGCGTATTATGTTTATATCTTTTGTCTTTTATTATGTATTAGTCAAATTTTTTAAGGCTAAGTTAGCCTGAATCATATCTCGATAAATATTATTTTAGGAAGTATAATTGCTATCACCAAGAGCTCGTATCCGTCCGGCAGTGTGATTCTGTAAGACTTCATTCTAAACTTCGAATCTGAATTCGCTGTGCGTAGTAGTACACTAGCGCTGCACTTGCGAGTCGAACTAAATTGACAGCAACATTTTGATAGATAAAGTATGAGATGACGTTAAAAGTGGCATCCCATAAAGTAATTTCTCTACCACTTCGACGCTCACTTCACACTCGAACATGATTCAAAATCAAACAAATTTTATACAATGTTGATACTAAATTTCTCCACTATTTAATGGATATAACTATACATGTAAAGCTTGAATTGAACCCACGTCACGTTGCGCGGCTACCGCGCCAACCGTGCATTGAAGTTAATAAATTCTTATTCCGTGAGTCTGGGTGTGATGTGTATGTGAAACTGTATGTTTATAAACGCACCCGAAAATCCAAGGGTGAGACAACGTTTTAAAAATATTGTATATACTTTTGCTGCTTTTGCCCATGACTCCGTTCACGTCAGATATATGTCCGTACTAAATTTCATAGAAATCGGTTCACTAGTTTAGGAGTGAAGAAAAGACAGACAGACAGAGTTACTTTCGAATTTATAATAAGTAGATACTTACTAGTTTGCTTGGATGTGTGAGATCGCCATGCTTCGCACGAATGGGTCGGCTTGAAGTTCCACGGCCTCAAAGATAACAGGCAAGAAACACAGCTTGCGTTGTGTTTCGCTGTACCCAGTGAGGAGTGAGGTCTGTCTGTCTTCCCTTCACGAAACAACGACAACACACTTGTAAAAGTGTGGGGAAGCCATGCTTCACCACGAATGGGTTGGCTCGACCGGAGTGATACCACGACCTTATTTATAAAAAAAACCTTGCCCCACTTTAGGATTTTCTCCTGTGTTGTGAGTGCGTTTACAAACATACAATGTCACACACATGACACCCAGACCCGAAACAACAATTTGTAGATCACACAAAGTGTTGTTCCGTGCGGGAATCGAACCCGCGACATGTTGCACGGCAGCCAGTTGCCCAGCCACCGCACCAACCGTGCCGTCAAAATAACCGCAGCATTGTGTTTCGCTGTTTGGGTGCGGTTACCGGACACCCAATTCTTCCCCTCCCCCAAACCCTCCCTGGCCCCTAAACGTCTGAAACTCTCTCCAAAAGGCTGGCAACGTGTTCGTTACTCCTCTGGTATTGCGGGTGTCCATGGGCGGCGACATGCTTACCATCATCCCGTTCGCTCTTAAATTTATCGATGTTTAGGTACCATAATGAAAAAGTGTTAACTTCAATGCGAAAATAAGCTTTTAATAATAACTATGAGTCTGTTTATATTTTTAAAACATTTTAAAAATAAAAAGTGCATATTGTCTATACTTATGCATCTTTTCAAGTTACGAACAGCACATCAAACTACTCAAATCTGTCATATCTCTTCATTGAATTTTCAACTCTATAATGAGGACACTACGGTTGAATATTGAGTAGCAGATTGGGGTATCTGGATATGCTTTTGCTTGACTCATACCTATAGAGGTTTTTGACCGGGCTGGCTGAATAATATTAATTCCTTTGCTCTGACTGTTTTGGCGCGAAAACGACGCCATCTTGAATGTTCTTTTTGTTTTCGTATTTATAAAATGTGCTTTGTGTAGTTTGAAATACTTATTAATACGGTAGTTTCCAACTAGTCAAATTCAATACTTTTATCATAATTTAGCTAAAAAATCTAAAACTATGTGTATCGATCGATCGATGAATAAAAGTATGTAATGTAGGTATAGTTATTTTTCAATATTTTATTGTATTGAAACGTCGAATTAATTTATTTTTGACCTAATTAACTAC